GCCGGAGCCCGGGAGGGGAAGTGCCCGGCTGGGGGTGCAGGGTCTGGAGGCACGGGGGCTGCCCGAAGCCGGTAGCGCTCGGGCAGCCCCGCTCTTAAACAGAGCCGAAGAGTCGGGGAGGAGCAGAGCTGCCATTTTCCCGGACATGTTTGGCTTTTTGGCAATTCCCCCCGGACGGGGGTTTGACTGCCGAAAAGCCGGACATGTCCAGGAAAAAGAGGACGTATGGTAACCATAGGTAAGATGTAAATCAATATAAAAGTTTCTGGTGAAGTCCTCAAAATGTTTAAGTTGGGAACCACTAGCTTAAGTGTAACTTTTATCATCTTTGTAAAATACAAAACCAATAGCCCAAAGAGAGATTGTGCTGGTTATGTCAGAAATCAAATTGACAACAAATATTCCTTTGTATGATTATATCTGAAGTTCTGAGTAAAGCGCGGTGGATTAAATTTCATTAAATATCCAAGTAAAAATAGTTACAAATTTAATTGTAGTTAGTTACTATTGTTTTAAGAATTGTAATGAAGTTGTTTATTATCAGTGAGATGCTGAGTTACATATACATGCTTTTACATATGAGAGTGTCCTTTAACAATTACTTGGAGCTATGTTTTAGTATTAGAAAATAGTATTCATTATAATCAAGTTGTTTATTGTATTAATTTTGGTTAATGAACAAGTGTTTAATTTGAAATGATAAAAAGCATTTTAGTGTTTAGCATTGGAATGTTAATTTAATAGTGAACTCTGGATTTATCTAATGTAGAACAAAACTGTTCTAATGTAGAACAAAATTGGGTATAAAATTTCCCATACTGGAGGCTGGAATAAATAAACTCACCTGGAATTAAAGTTAGTTTTAAGATTAAAGGAACTTTTAAGAGTATAGTACTATTCAATACACTGTTACAGCTTCTTGTTGAATATAACAATTAGAATTAAGGGAAAGCAGAATTAAAATAGTAATAATTCAGTTTCTATTATATTTTCAATTATCATTGAGGGTTCTGAGATTCTAAAAGGAGTCGCGATTGGCCGAACCTGCAGACGTGGCAGGTAAACAAACCGGCCCGGCCCGCCAGGGTGCCAAAGGTTGCCGATCCCTGGTATAGACATTACATACGCTGATGGGAAGAGTTCCCCATCAACATAGGTAATTCACCTCCTCGAGAGGCAGTAGCTAGGTCAATGGATGAATTCTTCTGTCGACCTTGAGCTGTCTACACTGGGGATCAGGTCGGCTTAACCACGTCACCCAAGCGTCATCCCTGAGTGACGCAGCTGGGTCGACCTAATTTTTTTATGTAGACCAGGCCTAAAAATATGCCAAAAGACAAACCTTTGTGAGATTGTGATAGCATCAACTGAATGATGGGAAAGAATGCATAATACCTGACTTGTTTATGTGATCAAATTTATCACCTGTAGTCTGAAGGAGGATCATCCCCAAAATTTGCGTTGTTGAGTGGTAAGTGTCAACATTAGAAACAGATCCTAAAGGGTGTGATCCAAACCCATCAGTGCAACTGAATGGAAAACATTCATAAAAAGCAGATTCTACCACAGGTTGGTAGAGGAGCAACCTCACCTGAAAATCCTGAGCAAAGAATCATGTTGTTCTGGATCCAGAAAGCTCTTCCCACTTCCTTTAGCAGTGGTCCTGAAGGGTCAACTTCCTCGCCCTATGAGAGAGGAATTTCCTTAACTGAGTCCTTCACAGACAAAACCTATGGCGGAGTTGGGTACACTGGTCCAAAGCTGCCTTGGGAAACTTTCCTAAAGGAAGGACAATCCAGTGGTTAGGCTGTTAGCCTGGGATTCAGAAAACCTGCGTTTAATTCTCTGTTCCACCATAGAGTGAGTAAGTCATTTAGAGGTACATCTATGCTGCCATAGGCGCCAACATTCCCTGGCGCCAGTGGGTGCTAGCATTCCCCCCCCCCACTCCACCCTTTCCTCACCCCTGCCCCACCCCCACACACTCTGGAATGATGCCCAATTACTTTTGTATGTGCATAATGTGAGATCACATGTGTAGGTATGCAAGCATGCTAGATTTTGCACACATAAAGGGGGCCAAGTATGTGCCCCACCATTGAAAATCAGGCAATTAAGTGTCATCCTTTAAATATGCATCTCTGCTAGGCCTGCCTGCATATCTAGTCACCACCAATCTGGAGCACAGGTAAACTAATATATCCTAGAACTGAAAGATTCTGTGTTTAATGGCAAATCACCCTGAGTCAGCTGACCCACTGAGATGTTAAAATATGCTATGAAAATGATGTATGAATCCCTACATTGGATCAGCTCTTAAACTGATTGACACCAGTTGATCTCCACTACGTCTGCTTGTGAATCTGTCCCACTGTGTTTACTCTCCATGGGTCAATTTTTCCACAGGTTTCACTAAAATTGCCGTCACTTATCCCGTCCTAGCCATGAATTTGACTCTGTTTCCTGCATTTCTTCTTGCCACAGGTACGCAAGAGGGAAACTATTATACCAGCAAAAATCAATCACATGTGCCTTGGCCAAAACCAAGAGTTGTTTGTTTTCTCTTTAGCTATGAAACTTTCCATCCAGCTCTACTCTTTAAACTGATCATCTTTGTTCTTTTGTAACACAAGTTAAGCAGGTTTTCTGAGCCTAAGGAAATCTATCTGAGCATTTCATCGAGCTTACTTGCCTGTACAGATTCAATAACAGAAAACTCCTTCGAAGTCAACTCAGAGCCTCACCATTGAAGTCATTCGGAAGTGCTCTTTAAAACTTAGTGGCGTAATATGGCCCCTCAGACCCACCATTCCAACCAATACATTCTACATTCCCAAAGGATCCACACTATCTATCTCTTAGCCTCAGGATCTGTAACCAGCTGTGTCATGGAAGTGAAGATTTTTTTCTCCCCTAGCATTATCCTGTTTCTCCTCTTGCAACCAATACTATTCATCCCCGGCAAGAAGTACTGGAGACGTCCTTATTTAAAGGATCTTTCCAGTTCCCCTTCTATCACAAAATCCTTTTAACTACTGAGGCCCTGTTGTCTTTCAAGACAAGTCAAACAAAATAGTCTGTATAAAGCCAAGTTCTTCTGAGCTTAATTCAAATTTGTTTTCTTTTGCTTGGTGAAACATAGGCCTGGTCTACACTACGGGTTTAGGTCGACTTTAGCAGCGTTAAACCGAATTAAGCCTGGACACGTCCACACAACGAGGCCCTTTCTTTCGACTTAAAGGGCCCTTTAAACCGGTTTCTTTACACCACCTCCGACGAGGGGATTAGCGATAAAACCGGCCTTTGCGAGTCGGAATTGGGGTAGTGTGGACGGAATTCGACGTTATTG